GGAAAGGAAAGGAAATCAACGAAGTCTCTTGGAAAGAAAGCTTGCCTTGCTAATTTCACTTTCCAATAGAAGAGAATATATGTAACTCAGGGTTGAAATGCAGAGTGTTACTTGGACAGATAATAAAACACCTGCACGCAAACAACCAAGCTCAGAGAACACCAAGGATTCCACAATTTCGCTTTCAACGGGAATATGCAGAAGAGAATTGAAAATCCAGTTTGAAGTCCTGACAGCCAGATCAAGTTTGTCAATCAGTCCAAAGGACAGTTTTACAACTAGGATTCACAGGAATGACGCACTGATTAGGAGCAAGAGATTAGGTAGTTGCTTCCAAGGTAAAAACATAAGTAGGATCTGCCTCTTAAATCAGGCTGCAGCCAGCTATCTTTCATTAAGATAGTTCCTCCTTGCTTGGCAGGGACCCTCATTGGAAGTCTTTGTTCTGTTCTCAGCTCTACCTGCTGAGTCTGAGGGTTGGGGCCAGGGCATGCTTCATTATATGACACTAAAGCTGTTTTATGGTGCCTGTGTTTGATCAGCGTTAGGTGATTTCTGAGAATGACACTCCATAAGTTCACTGGGAACAGCTTAGTTCTGCGCCATGACACCCCTTTTGGGGCAGCTGTAGTATTGACCTAGTCTGGTGTATAGGGCTGACAGCAGCCTCCCAAAGTATTGTGTGCATCACTCTTGTGGTGGCTTTGTTGGATGACCTCTCATGGAAAATGAATACTGTATTTTCTCCATTTGCGTACTGTTCACCATTCGCCTGACTATGGATTGGTTTTGGCAATGATTTTGTAGCCCTTTCTGGCTTTATGAGCATCTTGATCTACAGGGATCTCTTTCCATTCACACCCATAAACTTGTGTCATGAGTAACAGTCTCTGCTGATGGCAGTCGATGTCTGTGTGCATTTTTTTTTAGGGGAGTACCCCTCAAACCTACACTTGATTGTCATTTCTTGGATGAGAAAGTTTGACTCATTTTACTCTCTTTGGAGAACTGAGTATCCTAGGGCATCTCACACTTTTCCTAAGAAGTAGAACGAATGTTAGCTCAGTGTGTTCCATAAAGGTTGTTTGTTTAACCAGCATCACTTTATCCATTGAAAGCTCTGAGCACAACTACGTCACAGCATTTCAAATAGGTAGTTCTAAAGAATTCATAAGCTTTCTCTTGACACTATAAATACTGCTTGCTCTAAGGTTGGTGACTGCAGCCTTGATGTTCGACCCTTTCTATTATTGTCACATCAGAGATCAACACATTCTAGGTAATTCACTTGTGTTTGGCAAATAGCTCTGTATATGTTGCAGCATGTACCTTAGAGTGTAACATTTCTCAGCTTCTGGGTAGAGCATGCTTTCCTTTAGGTGATTAGATTAGAGCTGCCCACACATTCTTCTGAGCCCTGCTGTAAAGATAGTAAGGAGTGACATGCTGGGTGGGTGAGCTATAGTCATGAATCAGAATTACAGTTCTCCTATATGAATTTCTTAAGATGATTTTAAAAGATATGAAGATGGTTAAAGCAACTTGATGAAGTTCCACTGAATTCAATTGTGCTTTTTGTTAGGTAAATTCAGACTGACTACCAGATAGCAGCAAATGTAGGTCATTTAGCATAACACCACAGGCATCAGCTCCAATGGCCACTGGCTCCAAAATTATGGGTGTGACTGGGTGATCAAAGCCCCGCCCCTTTTTAATGTGTTTTGCATGCATATAAAGAGGAGTATGCTTGCCTGGTTGTGTTTTCCAGTCTGACATTTGCTATGAATGCCTCTGCACAACATCACTGCCTTCATATAGTTCTGAATGGGGCTGGTGAATAATAAAGATGTTAAATCAATGAATTTTTTTTTAAATTGAGACAAAAACTATATTGCTAAGTTTCTGAAGTATATCTGAGGCCCTGGAAAATTCATTCATTTAATGATATTTGTCAGTTCTCGTGTCCAGTGTTGTCTGGACTTACCATTTTGCTATCTAAAACACACACGTGCGCACACACAAACACACATTGTGTGCCCATTAGGAGCACCAGTTTTATAACTGAATCGCAGAAGCAAAACATTTCTACCCTTTTAATTATCAGTAAAGCAAGAAAGCTAAAAAGATATTCTCCAGTGAAAGCAGTGATTTTCTTGTACATCCAGTAAGTATGCATAGTGAAAATTAATTTCTGTATCGTTGATAATGAAATATACACATTAAGATTGATAAAATATTTATATTTCAGGTGGTAAACAGTCAGTGCCATCAGAAACAATTATGCAGGTGCAAGATAAATCTGTGTATAATAAAGGCTGAGAGAGCTGACCTTAAATAATTTCATAGGCATGCTCTTGCAGGGTTTTTTGGGTTTTTTTTTTTTTTGGCAATGTTATAGAAATGATGCAGCTATTATTTCACTTCCCAATGAGACCTACAGCCTTAGGATCCCATGTAGTCTCCTATCCAAATGCTAATGAGGCCTGACTCTGCTTCGCTTCAGAAGTCAGAAAAATATTATCTGCTAAGGCTTCTATGTATTCACACATATTTCGACATATGACTAAAAAGCAGTGTGGCTTAGTCCCTAATTCATACTTTTTTCATTCTTAGACCGTGAGACCACAGATTCCATGTTGTTGTCAGCATGTTCACGAATAGCCAATACCTCTGAGGGATACTAGGCTGAAGAAGATAGTTTTAATTCAACGTTGTTAATTTATTTTCTTTACACTGGCATATGCATTGGTGTTTATAAAAGACAATAATACAGTTTGGCAGTCTGTTACAATTCAGGAATCATCAACACATGCGGCCCACACCCATGTTCCTTCTGAAGTTTTCTTCAATGTGTGCGTGTGTGTTTCCAGGTCCACAGACTGCTGATATGGAGCTACTGAGAGTATAATTTTACCTGAGGAAAAAGGGAGGAAGGTGGATGCCTTAGTTGTAAGGGTACCTGCAAGATGTTCAGACTTTTAAGAATATATGAGCAGACCAAAGAATCATTTTGTTCGGTAGAAATATATTAAAAACATAAAAATAGACTCTCATCAGTGAGACAAAAATGCCTTTTTTGTTCTGCCATTCTGTTCAAGCCTATTTCAATAGAACCTTATATTTCCTCAAGCTCCTTTGTATGTTAAGCAAATAATTGGCATGTACTGTAAAAATGTCCATTTGGGACTGCTCTTTATGAAAAGCACAGGACTGGATGTGCAGCAGTGCAAATCACCACTTCAGCCAATGGTACTAAAGCATCCTATTTACCTCTCTGGAAAGATGCCCTGTTAAAACTGTGTGGGAGAGAAATATATTTCATCAGCACCAGCAGACTACAGTATATTGCAAAAAAACAAACAAACAAACAAACGAGGATGGATACATACTTGGACTCACCTTGGAAAATTGGCCAAAACAAAAGCCAACAGAAGGAGAATTCAGAACTGAAGAAAGAGGGTAAGGAACTAATTGGGTGGAAAAAATAAATGAAAGTCAAGACACATTTTGGTAAGAGAGGAATGAAGAGAATGTTAGATAGTGAGACATGGCAGACACACCTCTGATGAACCAGAGAAAGATCTTATTAAATATCTCAAGTCGCATCTTTTGCTTCTTTTCCTTGCATAGTGGAAATAGCAAATAAGGTCTTTTCCTTTTCTGCCCCCCCGCCCCCAACCCCTGCCTTTATTTCAGGCTTTGGAACATTTGAAGAAATGAGAAAAAAACAGATGTTCTACTCAGTCATGATACTGAGATAGTATTCCGCACAATTTGGTGCATTGTGTTGGAGTAGAACTCTTACAGTTGTACAATATATCTGCTGGACATCAGGTTGGTGAAAGCTAGAAGTAAGAATATAGTAACCTCCTAATATTTTCATTACTGAACTTCTGGAACCTTTTTTCACTGACTGTACTGTCAATAGGTGTTATAAAAATAAACATCTGGAGAGGTTTAGATTGTCAATTTCTAAATCACTTGTTATGAGCATGGAATACGGTGGGAACTGAGGTAGTGTCTCCTCTCTCTCTCTCTCTCTCTCTCTCACACACACACACACACACACACACACACTTGTAAATATTTAAATATTCATGAACCTAACTCCCCCCCCCGCCCCCTTCATTCACTTGTCTCTGATTCTCAGACTGCCTGGAGAAGTTCCTGCAGTTCTCTTGGCACAGATTTTCAGAAGCAGTTTCCCATTGCCCCTTTTCCAGGGCCGAAAGAAAGTATAGCCCTTGACTTACAACTGTTTGTTCTGAGTGACTGTTTGAAGTTGCAAGAACACTGAAATTTTTTTTGATTAAAGGCCATTTCTCACACTTATGGCATTCCCATGGTCACATGATCAAAATCCAGACATTTATGACAGTTGAAGTGTGATTTCCCCTTTTGCACCTTCTGACAAACAAAAGCTATGGGGAAGCCAGGTTCACTTAACAACTGTGTTACTAATGTAACAACTGCATTCATTCTCTTAACAATTGTGGTGACAAAAGTCAAAATGGGACAAAATTCACTTTATAAATGTCGCACTTAGCAACAGAATTTGGGCTTAATTGTAGTCATAAATCAAGGATTATCTGTAATGGGCCCAAAGTCACCCAGTTAACTTTGTGCTATAGACTGCTATAATGTGGATTTAAGATAGGGTCTTTGCATGTCACATGTTTCCACATATTTCCTTAATAGTTTAAAGTAGGAGAGGAAGCAAAGTGTGTTCCTATCTGTTTGACAAAAGAGAGGGAAAGAAAGAGATAGAGAGATGTCTTAGAAGAAAAATGAAATGAAGCAAATAGCATAGAGAAGTTATGGGATGAGTGTAGGGATAAACATTTTTATTATGTCTTCTGAATGACACACAATATTTTTTTATTTTAAAATTAGATAATAAAATCAGGAATCTGGCTCTTATCACCATGTAGCATACACAGTTAATATGACATAGGAGTTGAGGTTTATGGAGCATTTCAGGAGTTGAGGTTTATGGAGACCTGAATTCAGTAAAGTTCACAAGATGGCCGTAGACATTTCTCTTACCCTAGCCATGAGTTTTAGATTAAAGGGGGATAAAACCCTATAAACTGTAAAAATCCCTGAAGAACCAATCATATCATGATAACATCCTAACTAACCTACAGTATTTATTGAGACTCTTAGATTCAGAGTTGAGTTTTCTTAGATTTCTACATGAATAAGTCTCTCTTTTTTTGAGAAATGGACAACTGAGACTTTGATGACTTTATGTTGTATGTATTGCTGTTATTGGCAAGCAAGTAGTTGCCCTTAAAACTCTCTTAACGGAAAGTCAGAGCGAGGTCTCCAGGCAGGAAGCACGGCGGAGACACAAGTGCCTCCTTTCCTGACTCTCTGACCTATGCACAATTAGTACTGGGAAAAAGCGAGCTTCTTGGTAAGTGGGTGGGTTTTCGTTGATAACCAGCTGGCTAGAGTGGGAGCAGCACTGGTCATCCTGGCAACCACGGTCAGTGATGCTGCTGCTGTGACTTCTCCAGAGTCCTGTCCTGTGAGAGCCATGAATCTGGCATAAGGAGAAGCGGCTAGTGTTCAGAGAGAGCTGTGAGTTTGCACTGCCATTGTGGCGAGAAAAGATAGAGGAGGTACTGGAGGCACGATGGCAAGTCTCACAGCCATGAGTGATTTCACTGTACCTGCGAATGGAGTAACTGTTACATATGGGAGAATGGGTCAGGTTCAGGAGCATGGCCTCGGAATAGCTGGGAATCAGCTGGCGATTGGTGCAGATGTGCCACTCAAGCTCAGTACTGTCCTGAGTGCTTACCCTGGGGATTCGGTATCTATAGAGGGGCTCCTCTGCCACAGAGGGCACACTGTACTCCACGCCAACAAGTTTCTCCACATGGTAGTGTACGTGTGCAGTCTGATATTCTATGAAGACTCTCAGGGGCCATGAAATCATCAACAATGCAGCCACCCAGAAAGCATAATGGGATACATACCAAGGAAGATGATCTGGGTCTCCATAAGCCATCATGACTTCTTTGAAGTCTATATTTTTGAGTTTCATGCCTTCTCTGATCTCCATGTAATCATCCAGCCCTTCTATTTCTGTGAAGAAATGAGCTCTCTGTGTCAAGTAAGAGTTCTCAGATTCCATGTTGGCAAAACTGAAACATTTCGTGAACTTTAGCCTCGTGGTGGAATACCATTCCAGGCCCATGAGTTCCTTAGATATGTCTTTGAATCCACAGTGGGAATAGTCAAACTCTGCCTCAGCCACATGGGTATTGACTCTCTCGTGGTAAACCTGAGTTGTTGTATAAGCGTCACCATTGCGATACCGAGTCACCTGCCTTGTCCGTCGGACAAAGTGGTAGCTTATGGCTTTCCACCATATACACGGTGTGGCCTGTTTCATTCTGGCAATTCGATCATAGACACTTTCCACATCAGCTTTGCATTGAAGTTCACTTTTGGTGCGGCAGTGCCAACATTCCACCAAGTAGACCGCATAAAGAATAACGAGGAATGCTAATGGAATATACACATAGCCATCCGAGCAAGGACTGCCATGGTAAATCATAGACTTGCCTTTGAAAGAACTATCAAAACTGAGCTTAGTGACTTGGGTGAGTTGGCACCAAGCTATAGCCCCCAGGCAGCTATATATCAGAACTGAGAGAAGGAGACACTTCCAGTGAGATTCTCTGCATAGTGAAGAAGTCAAAGATTGCTTCATTGGTCTTTGCTGAAAATCAGATAACAGAGAAGAAAAAAGAAAGAACAGAAATGAAAAAAGAGAAAGAACATTTTGGTGAAATACTACAGTAAATAATCTTACATGTTTTAAAATTTCATATTTCAGAGATATAAGGCACATCTCATCAGGATTTTCAGATAGAGGATACCCCAAAATTGCAGTATGTCCCAAGTTGCCACCTCCAATAAGTAAACAAATAATTGCTTTGAAATAATTCAGCATAGTGAAAGAACACAAGCATTTTGCTGGATTTGTTAGCATACCAAATCTGTTCTATTTCACATTAAAATTATTTTTTTAAAATAAAGTTTTATTTGGGTTTTCACACACAAAATACAAGTAAAACATCTTTTTTGAAAATAGCATGGTCCCAGGTTGAATTTCTTTATACAGGCACAAAACTCAATTTCATGCTCCTTTTTGTATTATATTCCATATCTTATACTATTTTACATTTTCTATGTAGTTTTTCCCCTCTTTTAATTTTCTCAATTTTATTTTGATTATCTCATCTCTATTCAAATCATTATATTTATACTTTTGTCTGTTCTGTTTCAATTTCATATTATCTTTTCTCATTAAACAAATTTTCTCCTGTAGTTACTAATTGGAGTATGACACCTTTATATCTTTTAATTACATCCATTCAACTCTTTATTCTTGTAATAACTATTTGGGTTTTTGGCCTGGCTGGAGCTTGTTTTTGTCTTTTTTTTTTTTGGAAGTTGCAATGATATGGCATGCGATCTCGGAGGTCTGAGATCGCAGCCGGTATCTTTGCTCCTGGACGGTCCAAACAGATCTAAACCATCCCGAAGAGACGACAAAAGTGAAGAGCACATCCTGTTGATCCCAGGGATACCGCAAAATCCCTGGTAGATCCAGGAGAAGCTCTTCTTGCCAGCGGCAAAGAGGCAGCCATTAAAGCTGCTGAAGTTGGGACAGCTCCGAAATGGAAGAGAACAGAAAGAGAGAGTGTGCTGGTTTGGTGAGAACTTTTTTATTCTAAGACTTGAAAGGATACCCTAAGGAAAAGAAAGAATCTGTAAAAGTTTTGACAGAAGTGATTAAGCAGCGATTTTAAACGGAAATGTCAAAGTAAGGTGTTTTTTTTTTCTCATTGCTGGATTTCTATACGCGATTTTGTATTTTGAAACTGGACTGGTTCTTTTCTTATTTATACCTATTTTTTCTTCTCCTTGATTTTGTAATATTTTAGGCTAGAGGCTCCCTTTAGTTACTTAGTTATTTCCCTTTTTTATATTTCCTTCCTTTTTGATGGGGGCTTAATTTTAATTACGTTTTGCTTGGGAAAGGAGGGGGAAAGTGAGAGCAAAGAAACTTCGTAACACTGCCAACTAGAGGCTTGAAAATGCTTTATTTCCTGTGATCAGACGAAGCTGAGAAAGATGAGAAAGAAAGAACTGAGATTCCTTTTCAAGGACATTGCTATGTGATAAGATAGAGGGAAGAGCATGGGGGAGTGTTACTGTAGGTGCTCTTCTGGACTTCTATCAACAGCTGGAGCCTGGTGTTGAAGCTTACGAAAAGAAAAGGTGATAAGTCTTTGGGGAAGAGAGTTATAAACAAGAGCCTTGGATAACTAAACAAAGTGCAGTGTGCTCTTTTTATTTTTTCTAAGTTGTGCTATCCCCCCTTACCAGCTTTACTGTATTTTTTAAAAATCTTTATTCTTGTAATTATTTGGGTTTTTGGCCTGGCTGGAGCTTGTTTTTTTTGGGGGGGGGCGGGGGGGGGGAAGTCCGATATCCACATTTGCTTTTTATTTTAAAGGGAAAGCCTTAAAAGCCTTTTCTCTTTTTTTCCTGGCATTTTTTGTTTTTTTCATCTACCCTTTTGATTCATTTTTATGCATTTTTTTCTTTTTGAGACCTTTCAATTGGATTAAGGTGTAGAAGAACCTGAAGAATTTTTCCCCTTCTCTTGTTTTTTTTTTTAAAGTCTCTTTCTTTCTTTAACTCACAGCCCTCTACCACAGGTTGGTAGTAATTGTTTTTTTCTGCACCCTAACTCTAATTACTCTCTGGAGTCTGTGTCTGTCCTGTTGGGTTGCAGAAACAAACCAGACAGTTATAGAGGTGCAGATGACAGACTCGATAATTCCTCTGCAGACCATCTATAATAATTGTCATATTTCTCTGTTTAACCACTTGACTGCTCGCTAAGTTTTCTTCAGTTCTTCAAGGAAGTTAAGTGAGGAACAGATCCTACAAGAACTTTATATACAGATAGTCCTCGACTTACAACCACAAATGAACCCAAAATTTCTTTTGTTGAACAAGACATTGGTTAAGTGAATTTTGGTCCATTTTATGACCTTTCTTGCCACCGCTGTTAAGTGAATTACTGTAGTTGTTAAATTAGTAACACGGTTTTGAGGGGAATCTGGCTTCCCCATCAATTTAGCTTGTCAGGTCAGAAGGGGATTCCATGATCCCAGGACCCTGCAATGGTCATAAATATGAATCAGATGCCACAACAGTCTTAAATGTTATCTGCATACTCCTCTACAGTTTTTTTTCTGCAAATCATTCAGAACGTGGATCAGGAGCTTGCTCTCATGTTTTTTTTTTAAAAAAGGGGTTTTCATCCATCTAACCATGAAATGTCTCATGTTCCTAAAAGGCTATATACTAATATCACTGATTCAACTCAGCTGCAAGCTTGAAATACGGTTGCATAATTTTCCATTTCTTGAACCAGCTTCTGATATTGAAGCTACTCTTAATGTTTAAAAATGTTTTGGGTTTTCAAAGCATAAATGTTTCCTTTTGTGGTCCTAGTCATCATATTAATTTCTATCATATCAGCTATTGTTAGCAGAACACAGTACTTTACAATTATCCAATCTAACAACACACTCTGCAACAGGATAGAAAGCTTGTTATGAACTATTATAAATGAACAATAAATGAATTCATCACATGCTAATCTTATGAACAATTTTCCAAGCTTAATTCTTTAGAAGTTAATTAAGAGAAATTAAATTACTCGTGGCTTGAGGTCTTCATATGGTGTGAAGCATTTTGTAGTGCTACTTTGTTTAGGAAGATAATTCAAAATAACTATCACTCTAGTATTTGCAGATTTAGAACTGGAATTTTTGATACACATCTTGTCAAGTTGACAACAGCAGAGAAAATCTGATAACTATGATTTAGTGTGTTTAAAGGGAAACTTGTGCTCAATTAAGCAGCTACATTTTCCAAGTTACGTAACCTTAGATGTACATTAATTTGCATTTTATAAGTATGAAAGTATGGATTAGTTGCACAATTGATTACCAATCAGTTAGAGCATTTCAAAATTTCCACCAAAGAGGTAGTACAAGGATAAAAAACAAAAAGGCCTGTACATGATACTGAGTTTGAATATATTATGAATAATTATGTCTTAATGCTTCTACATTATTCTTTTTGCCACCAACTCCTGACTTGAGTTTTTAAAAGTTTTAATTAGCCATCCAATCAATAAAGAACTAAGGTTATCCTGAAAATGCAAAAAAAATCTTAACTAATATAATTGAATAGCTGTTGAATGGTGTCATTTCAATGAGTTCTATAAATAAAATAAAGAGACTGTACTTCTAAAAGTTACTAGCAAGACAGCCCCTATAATTTGGTAAAATTGATTCTGAGAGGCAGCAATAAGATTAAAAAGACACAGTTAAAGGTACTTTTAAGCTGTCTGTGCAGTCTCTAAACTACTGAGTTATTTTTCCATGAGGCACTAAATGTTGTCCCAGCATAAGGACTGGACTAAAATTTAATGGTCATTTCAGTTGATGTTTTTAAATGTAAAGGAACTATCTTATTATTTTCCTCTAGCAAGTAATGATTTGAATTTACAGTACTGTATTTTCTAACTTTTCACAAAAAAGGCCTAAAATGGGGTTCCCAGTCTCCTAATTTCTAGTCTGATGCCTTAACCAATACATGAAACTAGTTTTCCCAATAAATTATAATACTATCTATATTTGTTTATGAATAGAGAAAAAAACAAACTAAAAAAATATAAAGCAACTTTGAAAAACAAATATCTCCCACTTTCTTTATATTCCAACTAATTTTCAGTATTTATAAACATTTAGACTGTCTTAGAAACCATTATTGTCATTGCTTGGGGTTTTTTGTTTGGTTTTGTTTCTCGCATTCTGTCTTATATTTAGTATAACTTCTCTTCTGGGTGTATGCTGTTAATTTTGCCATTGCTGCATGTCTATCCAGGTTTGAGATTCTAATCAGATATTGTTGATGTTTCTTTCAATATTGGACAAAATTTATGGCAAAATACTATTAAAAACTCCATTTAAACATTTCAAGAACTACGCTCAGTTAAACTTAAGACCTGTTCAGATTCAGGTTCATATCACTGATTTTCCTCAATATTTATATATGAGCTATAAGAAATTATTATCTGTATCTATATATCTCCTGTGTGATTTAGTCTTACAATGTTAGTGTATGTGTGTGTATGTGTCTTTGTCCATAAATGGATACTCAGGATGGCACAGCTATGAAAATTAAATTCCTGTTTAAAAACAGTATCTAAACTTTCCCTTTTTCTTCTTCAGTAAACTGGACTTTTTTCAACACTATTACATTGGATCAACTCAATTCTGAAAAAGTCTTTTTTAAAAACAATGCAAATTTATCTTATGTTGCTTCTTGGTAATTTATTCAACTTAAGCATTTGCTATTTGAATTATTTGACCCAGATGTTGTCACTGCTTCTGAAATACCACAGTGGGCATTTTGGGAAGAATTAACCCTTGCTTCAAAACTTGTAACTTTTCTTGTTTAAAGAAATTGAAGATGATGTAAGGAATTGAAATTGACATTGGTTACTTAGATGACCACTGGAATTATGATCGTGAACATCCCATCCCACCAGTAGATGATCACCTTAAAGAATATTAAATCCATTTCTTATGACCTTAAAATGAAGTTAATAAATCTTTTAAGTAT